GATTCTTCCACCTACCCTGATGCCACATTCCTCTTCGTATAGCCCAGAGTCTTGAATGATCTGTTCTGCATACAGGTTGAAAAGGTATGGAGACAGAATACATCCCTGACGAACCCCCTTCTTGATTTTGAACCATGTAATGTCTCCTTGCTCTGTTCTGACAACTGCCTCTTGGTCCAAGTATAAGTTTCGCATTAGCACAATCAGATGTTCTGGCATTCCCATTCTTCTCAGAGTCAGCCACAGCTTATAGTCACAGCTTATATCCACACAGTCAAAAGCCTTTGCATAGTCAATGAAGCACAGATATACAGTCTTCTGGTATTCTTTGCTTAAGAAATAAGTGCCAAGAGCAGAGTACATCGCCTGGAAGCAAGTTCTTATGCTGAGAAACTCCTTGACACAAAGAAAGCACATGGAGATCTTTAAGAAGACACGAGACCTAAAAAGAGAGAGAGAGAAATAAAACACACACCAGATCTATAGATGTTGAAAGAAGATAAAGACTTTCCTCTGGTGCCTACAGAGAAAAAGCCCTCCCCTTGAGCTCAAACCTAGTACCTTTACATCACTTCTGACTTACAGTGATGCTCCATCAGGTTTCTGAGGCTATAAATATTAACAGGAGGAGACTGCCCGTTGATCTTCTTGGAGCCTCTGTTGGATTCTAAAAGCTGGAAAGGCACAGTCTTTTGGTTAGCAGCACCACTTGCATTGACTGTAGTTGTGGTTGTTGTAAGATGACTTAGAGTTCAAGTACAACTCATAGGAACAGCCAACCTGAACCCTGCCCTATCCTGTGCAATCCTCATCATCTCTGACACACTAGAGCCCATTGCTGAAGTCACTGTGTGAATACATCTCGTCAGGGGTCTTCCTTTCCTTTGCTGACCCTCTATCTTTCCAAGACTAATGTCCCTTCCCAAGGAATAGTCACCACAGACTATGCTGCTCTAAATGTGAATTTTCATGAGAATGGTGAACATTAACATTTCTGCCTGTTCTTCATAGGATCATTATGAGTTGTTCTTGGTTCAGTGTCATCTAACAGCCACAAACTGTTAAGAGAATACATTTCTGCTTGTTGAAGCCATCCATTTGTGATTTATCTGTTGACATCAACACTGCATAATTAAGGCACTAATATTGTTTATGTAGGATGTCTCCGCTTTTAAGTAAGCAATTTTTGGGTGATATTTTTGTTTTGTTTTTATTTGAACAGTGAAAGCTAGTTTCTCAAGGGGAGAAGATAAACCTTCATTTCTAAAAGTTGCAGTATTAGAGCAAAGATGAATAAATACCCATGCAGCATCTGGAGAATCTCAAACAGTACTGTGGTTTGAGTTTCCTTCTGCTCTCTGATGTTTAATCTTCTCATCTAAGCATTTTGTTCAAAGGGCCCAAATCCTATTTTGCACAGCTACATCAGAGAATCCAATACGTGGTTATTTGCAAGTCTCTTAGGTCACTTTTTTGTGTTTCCATGAGACTGAAAATTATACTTATTAATTTTTAAAACAGACTTCCTTCAAGTCAGGGGACAAAGATATAGTAATCAAGGGAGCTCCAGTGGCCTAGTGGCAAGACGCTGCACTGCAATCCCAGAGGTATGTGGTTCAAATCCACCAGATGCTCTGCTGGAGAAGGAGGGGGCAGGCAATCTCCTCCTGTACCAGTCAGATCTGATTTGACGGTACACGTAAAAATAGTACAATTAAAAAAAAAAGATATGATAATCTGCTTCAGTAAAGATTTACAGCCCAAGAAACTATATGGGACAAGATCTACTGTGTCCTACAGGATTGGCACAAGTTGGAATCAATTCAATGGCAATGCATTTGGTCTTTTCCTTGATCTTTCCTCTGTTCTCCAAGTCAGCCTGAAATTTGGAACATCTCACAGATCTTTTCAGCCTGGAAAGGGAAAAATAAAATAATGCAGTGCAATAACCAACTGTCTTAAATTTATGTGTTAATAGCATGTATCTATATGTGCAATGAGGTCTTGTGGGCTAGTGGTAAGGAATTGCATTGCCAATCAAAGGTGGCAGTTAGAGTGCACCAATGTTTAGCAGGAGGAAGAGGGACAATCTCCACTCTGGCATTTACAGCCTCTGAAAGTTGGTTTCAACTTGAAAGCATATAACAACAAAAACAACGACAAATACACACACACACAAATAAGAGTATGCCAAAAGTCTAAAGAGGAGAGTGAGGGAGCTCTGGTGGCCTAGTGGCAAGAAGCTACACTGCAATCCCAGAGACACATGGTTCAAATGCACCAGATGCTCTGCTGGAAAAGGAGGGACAATGTTCTCCTGTACCAGTCAGATCTGATTTGATGGTACACACAAAAAATAATAAAAATAAAAAAAATAAAGAGGAGAGTGGTAGGGGAAAAGGATACTACTCTGAAGCACAACTTTCCTGGTTTTAAATCATGCAGTGTTCCTTGTTCTGCCCAGACAACTGCTTCTTGGTCTATGTACAAGTTTTGCATGAGTTTAAGTAAGTGTTCTGGGATTCCCATTCTTCTCAATGTTAGTCATATTTCTTAAGATCCTCACAGTCAAATGCCTTTGCATAATCAATAAAAATCAATCTGTATGGTGAACAAATCATTGGAGAAGTCAGATTGTATGAGAAAGAATGTGGCATCAGAATGTGAGGAAGAAAAAAAAAAGAATGTGAGGAAGACTTATCAACCTGCATTATGCATTTTAAAAAAGGTATGGAGATAAGACCCATCAAGAACCTGCATTATGCATTTTAAAAAAGGTATGGAGATAAGACCCATCAAGAACCTGCATTATGCATTTTAGAACCTTGGGTGCAGAAGGGACAAAGACTTGAAGCACTTCCTGCAGAAGAGCAAAGACTACAGCCTTTGTTGATGGGCACTTGGATTGCTTTCATCTCTTTGCTATTGTGAATAAAGCAGCAACAAACATAGATGTGCAAAAAAAAAAAACATAGATGTGCATACATCTGTTTGGGTGGCAGCTCTGGAGGACATTATGCTGAGTGAAATATCCTAGTCACAAAAGGACAAATACTGCATAACACCACTGTTAGAAAACAGGACTGACATGGGACTGGGGGAAGGGAACTAAGAAAAGAGGAAATAAATCATGAACACTTCATTGGAACAGTTGAAGGAAAGAACTGTTTAAAAGGAGTATGTTGTTGATTGCCTTCAAGTCGACCATGACCTATTTCAACCTATGAACCTATCAGGACCCTATGAACGAAAGGCCTGAAGTCCCTCTACAACTATCAACATTTATCAAAATTCATAGTTTTCAGAGATATGTTGTTTAGGAAGTGGAGGTTCATAAAAAAAGTGGGCTAGGGGAGGGGTGGGGGGAGGAAATTATACAAAAATGAATGAATATTGGGTTTTGGTTAAAAAGAGAACCAGAGTGAGTAGGGAGGAAAACGTGCAATAAAAAATGAATGAAAATCCAACTTTTCTGTAAACTTTTGTTAAAATCACTATTAAAAATAAAACCAAAGACTACAACCTTCAATATGAGGTACACTTTGATGTAGCAAGAAAACAAAAATCTTTACCATTGAGCCCACAGACAACTTTGTAATAGATGGGGAAAAGACTGAAGTTGTCAGCTTTTTCATTTTACTTGGATCTAAGACCAGCACTCTTGGTAACAGCAGTCAGGAAATTAAAAGACGTGTTGCACTGGGAAAATCTACTGTCAAGGACCTCTCCAAAGTGCGAAAGAGCAATGATGTCGGTTTAAAGACTGAGGTTCAACTGATCTAAGCCTTGGCATTTTCAATTGCTTCCTGTGCATCTAAAAGTCGGACAGTGAATAAGGAACTCTAAAGAAGAATCAATGCCTTTGAATTACAGTAATCACGAAGAGCATTGAATATTCCATGGTCAGCCAAAAGAACAAACAAATCTGTCTTGAAGGAAGTTCAACCAGAGTGATCCTTGGAGTCAAGGATAGTGAAACTTTTTCTTTTCAGAAATATTTTGGGTATATTTTCAGGAGGAACCAGTCTTTGGAGATACCATGCTAGGGAAAATAGAGGGTCAATGAGAGAGAGAGAGAGAGAGAGACCCCACAATGGGTTTGAGCATGACAGAGTTCATGAGGATGACACAGGGCAGGACAAGGTTTAGACCTGGTCATAGGGTCTCTTCATGAGTTACATAATGGTCTTAACGGCACTTAACCACAATAGCAAAAACTCAAATGAGCACACATGCATGTGCTTCATAATGGAAAATAAATAACTTTTAATGTTATTTGCAAATGTTGAAACAAATTCTAATTTGGCTTAATAAAGGTCTTATCATGTGAAGTAGCCTGGATTGGATGGAGACACTACTATTCCCGGTATGCCCCGGGGCGGCACGTGACTAGAGGCTGCTACAACTACAACTCCCGGCATGCCATGGTTCCACGAGTGATTTGCGAGAAGAGAACTACATCTCCCGGCCTGCCGCGGGCTGGGGGTGGCCGCCTCACCCACCTTCTCGGACTTCCGAAGTCTTTCAGGTCCACCTTGAAGACGATGGAGGTGACCGGGGGTGCCGAGGCTCCCGAATCAGAAGAGTTGCGGGCGCTGAAGCCGTGTCTGCTGCGCCGCAACCACAGCCTGGAACAGCACGGCGTGGCGGCCTCCTGCCTGGAGGAGCTGAGGAGCAAAGGTCGGTGCTGGAGCCGGGCCGGGGACCCGAGAGGCGACTCGGGGACACTCTTCACGCCGGGTGGCACCTTGAGAAGCCTAAGTGAAACGACTCACGTGGTTATATAGAACTCGATAGGTTTTGAAGTAGTTTGTAGTCTTTTCACAGCGCCTGAAACTTTACCCCGAGTGCGTTTTTAAAAGGTGGGAGGAAATACTTAGGATAGACCCGGAGTCTTTTGAGTGTCTAAAATCACACTGATTTCAGATCAAATCCAGCCCTGGCTATTTCTGTCACTGTAGATTGCTGATGGGGTGCTGGGGTCTCCAGCTGAGTTTCCACCGTTAGCTCGGCAGGTGTCACCAGAAAGAGGAAGCGGCTTGTCACTGCCCTGGAGGTCCAGAGAAGGGAGCGGTGTTGGGTGTCCTGGATGACTCAGATGACTGTATTCTGAGCCCAAACTCTTACCACTTTATTCTTGCACGAGCACCCTCTACTTTCACTTTTCTCATTGGGAGAAAATATTATGTATTATTTCCAGTGCTTCTCCCCAGGACTGTTAGGACTGTTGTTGTTTTTGTTGTTGTTGTTGTTGTTGTTAGGTGCCATAGAGTCTCTTGCGATTCATAGCGACACTATGTACAAGAGCCCTAAACGCCGTTCTATCCTGTGCCAACCAAGCCATCTCAAACACACTCATTCCCACCACTCCACTCACAGAATCGATCCATCTCATCGAGGGTCTTCCTCTCCTGCGCTGTCCTCCACTCTACCAAACATGATGTCCCTCTCCAAGGACCAGTCCCTCCTTGCAAAATGCCCAAAGTATGTCAGACGAAGCTTCAGAATCCTTGACTCCAAGGAACATTGCGGCTTCACCCTCTCCAGGACAAACCTCTTTGTTCTCCTAGCAGTCCATGGTATATTCAACCACGGATATTGACATAATATACTCAATTACCTTTCAAATATTACTAGTGATTAACATTTTTGTGGTTAAACGAGTAAGCTCATCCTAGGACTGTAGTCACAGTGTGTGTCAATGCGGCACCCCCTCTCAGAGTCTCTTAAGTTCCAACTGATTACTATGTATGTCGTTCAAAGGCTAAGAGCAGTCAGAAACCTATGTATGCTCTAGTGACATGGTGTGGACTTACTTGGTGCAGGACCTTGTGTGTTTGTGTTCTGTGGAGTTTGGTCTGCGAGAGGCTTACTTTCTGTTTGAATGGTAGACACCTGTGCCTAAATTCTGTTTGCTACTTCTGCTTAATTCAGGCTTTTTACGTCACTAAATGGGATGGTACAGGGCTGCCTTGAAAAAAGCCTCTTAAAGAAACAAGCAGACTTACAGCACCAAGCCCAATAACAGCTTGTCTCCACAAAAGAAGAAAAGAAAAGAAAGAAAAAAGCCTCTTGTGTAGTGACAATAAAGATGAAACTAAAAAAAAAGATGAAACTCCACCGATCCAAACTTCAGTTTCTGTTACACATTCCTATAGGTTAGAAAGATGGCAAAGAAAAATTATACAAAGAACAAATTTTCCCACAATCTAACACCAGAGAATTTAAGACGGCCCCTGAGTAAATGAAAGACTACTTACTTATTCATAAGGAATCAAACTAGACTTTGGGATAGTTTTGCTGTTCACTGAAAAATTTTAGTTGACTCTTAACGTATGGTGTGGAAGACCTGTAGAAAACATATTTCCAGGAACAAGATTAGATTTAAATGCCAGCTCTGCCACCACTAACCTCTCTGAGACTTGTTTTTACCCATCAGTAATATGGGCATAATAATAGTACAATTTCTTCATGGATATAAGTTTCCTCTTTGGATCTTGAGTTCTCTAAAAAGCAGAGTTTTTTAACCACTAAATATTTAATGTTTTCTCAGCTTGTGACATTCTGGCCATTGATAAGTCCCTGGCACCAATCACCCTGGTCCTAGCAGAGGATGGCACCATTGTGGATGATGAGGACTACTTCCTATGTCTACCTCCCAACACTAAGTTTGTGGCATTGGCCAGTAATGAGAAATGGAAATACAAAATTTCAGGTAAGAAATACTGAGAGTGTCTAAAATGGCCTGAGACAGCATCTGTCGCCATTAATTTTACTAAGCAGATTGATGTTTGTCTAGCTGTTTAAGGATTTGTGCAGCAAACATTTACTGAGCTCCTTCTGTGTGCTGAAGATGGTATTAAGTCCTAGGGATAAAACTGGGTAAGACTTGGCCCGTTCTCAAGTAATTCACAGATCAATAGCAGCTTACAATGCAGCTTGGAAGAGAGCTCGTTACTGCAGGTTAGAGTCAGGCTGCCTGGGTCTGAATCCGAGCTCATTAGTGCAGGTTAGAGTCAGGCTGCCTGGGTCTGAATCCAAGCTGGTTACTGCAGGTTAGAGTCAGGCTGCCTGGATCTGAATCCGAGCTGGTTGTTGAAGGTTAGAGTCAGGTTACCTGGGTCTGAATCTGAGCTCGTTATTGAAGGTTAGAGTCAGACTGCTTGGGTCTGAATCCTGACTCTGCTGTTTACTGGCCATATGACCTTGAGTCATAAGTACCTTATTGAGATGATAATTGTAGCTCCTTTTGATTGTGGTATGGAAAAGAGTGCTGAATATCCCATGGAGTGCTAAAAGGAAAAAAAGGTATGTTTTGGGAAAGGTACAGCCACACTGCTCCTTGAAGGTAAGAATGACACTTTGTGTATGTTGCTACAAGAGGCTATTCCTTGGAAGAGAACATGTTGCTTGGAAAGGCAGAGGGTCAGTGAAAGAGAGGAAGACCCTCAATGAGATGATTGACACAGTGACTGTGGCAATAGTGTGTCAAGTGTGTCAGAGATGATGAGGATGGCACAGTCTAGGACAGGGTTCAGATATGTTCATAGGGTCACCGTGAGTCATACTCAACTCTACAGCGCCTAAGAAAACCACATCTTCTCATGTTGGTGTGAAGATAGTATCACACATTCTATATAAACCAGGTTGTTCAAATTTGATCCTGTTAATGTTTTGGGCTGGATAAATCTTTTTGTTGTAGAGAGCTGCTCTGTGTATTGTAGCATACTGAGCAGTATCCTTGGCCTCTTCACATTAGACATCAGTAGCACTCTCTTTCCTACTTGTGATAACCAAAAGTGTTTTAACACTTTGCCAAGTGTCTCCTGAGGGTGCAGAATGGCTCTCACTTGAGAAGCACTAATATAAGCCATTTAGATGATACCTGGCACACAATAAGGGATCAGTAAATGTTGTATCGTCAGCATCATTACAGATACAAAGGGGACTAACACTAAAGGATAAATGGCTAACGAGGTGTCCTGAGGGAAATCCCTCTACCCCTAAATTAAGGAAATTACCTTTTGGCAGTGGCTTTGTGGTTCTGGAGAAGAGTATCAAACATACCATGGGCTATTGAAAGAACAAACAGGTCTGTCCTGGAGAGAGTTGAAACCAGGTTGCTCCTTAGAGGCAAAGATTTTGAAACTCTGTTTCACATACTTTGGACATGTCAAGAGGGACTAGTTCTTGAAGAAGGACATCATACTTAGACGTGGTAGAGGATCAGCACAGGAGAGGACGATCCTGGATGAGATGGATTGATACAGTGACACTCAGAGACTGTAAGGTTGGCTCAGGATAGGGCAGAGTTCAGACCTGTTGTTCATAGCATCACCATGAATTGTAGTTGACTTGGTGGTACATAACAACAGTGACTTTATCAGCTACCTTTTTCCTTGGGCCCAAGGGACAGCAAACAGTGGCTGTAGCTCCTCCATTTAAGGTTGGGCTCAGTTCCTAAGCATGAGAGAAGCACTGATGAGAATGAATGCTTTTGTAGACAAAAATTGAACAGCCCTAGGTACACAAAAACTAACCAGAAAGGAAGTGTGCTAGGGTCCTGGGCATCCATACTTATTCTTGGGGTTTAATGGCTTCTTCCCACCGAGGAATGCAGAATGGTTTCATGTAGAAATAAATGCAGATGGAAGAAGAAGGGAAATTAAAGTCTTAGGTGGAGATTAGCTGTCACATTAATTCTTGAGAATAGATACTTCTTCCATGACTGGAATCACTCTATGTGGCCAAGGAGAAAGATGTGCTGACATCTGGAAGAAGGTAGAGTGTGTATGGGATGATGGTGAGAGCCACACCAGTAGGTGGTATGATGGTGACTGATGTTTTTCTCCCATTCATCAGATGGAGGTACAGCTTGGCTTTCCCAAGAGTCCTTTGATGTGGATCAGACAGATAGCGGGGCAGGACTGAAATGGAAGAATGTGGCCAGGCAGCTGAAAGAAGATCTTTCCAGCATCATCCTCCTGTCAGAGGAAGACCTCCAGGTACGCAGCCTCCTCAGCCTACAGCAGTGCTCAGCGCCTCACAAGGAGGGGCTTCCCAGGAAACCCACACCTTCTTACTGTCCATGTGTTTTGCACAATAATTTCATTTCTCTTAATTCTTAATTTTTCTATAGTTCTCAAATCACAGCTAAGAAACTTCAATTACAGTTCTTGCTTTCACTTAAAGTGGTAATTTTTAAAGCTGCATCCTATATCAGAATCACCTTTTCAAAACAGAGCGGGGGAGAATATGTACGAAAAAGTGAATGAAAACCAGTTTCTCTATAAACTTTCCTTCAAATCACAGGTGTGTTTTTTTTTTTTAAATGGGGAATGAATTAAAATGCAGATGATCAGGCTCTACCCTAGTCTTAATCAGGTGAACCCTGGGGGTTTGGGGCTATGGAGTGGGCTGTGGATTCAGAGTAGCTGAATTCAGATCTCAGCTTCATCTGTGTAATTAAGAGCCAGTAACCTGACTTCTCTGCTTACATTTCTGCCATTGTACAAACTGGCATTAAAAATAGGGTGTGTGAATTCAAAACACATGTCTTGTAGCCCCACCCAGAGGCTGGCATGGTTCTGTGCTCTGGGGCTATGGTGATGAATGATGCAGACACTGGGAACTCAACTCTACCAGAATCACGTTTGTTGGGACGCTGGCATCAAGCAAGCATTCCAGACAGGTAGCTGTGCAGGGGCTGATGATGAGGGCCCTTCTAGATCAAAGGTTTCTGAGAATATGATTAAATTTTGCTATATTTGTGTGTATGTGGTGTTTATTTTGTTATTGTTGCTTGTGTGTGGTCTTTTTTTTCATTTCAATTTTTGAAAATTTATAAATCATACTGCATTTTCATTCAATTATTTGTAAACATTTTGTTTTATAACATTAAATACAACATCACAAGAGAGGAAGACTCTCAGTGAGATGGATTGATTCAGTAACTGGGATAATGGGGTCAGTATGTCAGAGACAGTAAGATTGGCACAGGATAGAGCAGGGTTTAGGGCTGTTGTAAATAGGGTCGCTATGAGTCACAGGTGACTCAATGGCACATAACAACAACAACAGTGGTGTAGTAAGTTGCACTGCTAACCCAAGCATGGTGTCTCTTGTGGTTCAAATCCCCCAGTGGCTGCAGTCTCCTCCTGTGTGATTTATAGCCTCTGAAAACCTGCTGAGGTGTCAGCTGTGAGTTGGTTCTGATAGCAAGAAGATGAGATGCTGAGGATGTAATTAATTACAATGTCTAATCAAGCTTTTATTTTATATTGCCTTTCCCTTCACCCAACTTATCTATTAATTTCTGCTCCCCTCTCCCACCCTCCTCATCCCTTTTAAACCTTTCTAAATTGATTCTATGTGTAAACCTTTCCTTGCCATTTTATGTTAGTGATTTTATAGCATAATTATTCTTTTATGACTGATTTATGTCACTTCAACATAACCTACTCTAGTTCATCCATGTTGTGAAGTATTTCACAAATTGTTTTTAGTGATACATAATGATCCATTGTATCATAGTTTCTTTAGACATTTTTCCATTGATGGTTACTTTAGTTGTTTCTATCTCTCTGTGATTCAACAATAAACAAGGGGTGTAATGCATGTCAGTTTGTGTCACAGCTCTTATTTACTAGGAAATATACCTAGTAGTGGGATTCCTGGATCAAATGAGATTTAAGTTTCTAAGGAAGCACCAAACTGCTTTCCATAGTGGTTGCACTATTTTACATTCCCACCAGCAGTATGAGAATTCCAATCTCTCCACACCTTTGCCCGCACTTGTTTGATGTCTTAATTGAGTGTTGATGTTTTTGCTGGGTGAGATGATATCTCACTGTTTGATTAGCATCTCTTTAAGAGCTAATGATCTTGAGCATTTCTTCATGTGTTTGTTGGCCATCTGAATGTCTTCTTTGGTGAAGTGTCTGTTCATGTCCTCCTCTCACTTTATAATTAGGTTGTTTGCCTTTTTTCTTATTGATGTTTTGCCATTTTCTATAAGTTTTAGGAGATGAGTTTCTTGTCAGATGTGTCACTGCTAAAATACTTGTTCTCAATCTGTAACTTCTCTTTTTACTCCCTTGGAGAAATCTTTTTATATTTATTTTTCATAGACTTTTTCAAGAGCAATTTTATGTTTTTAGAAAAATTGTGTAAAGTTCTCATATACATTCCCTCAAGTTCTCATATACACGCTTTCCCTCCTTCACTGTTCCTTCTGTAACATCATTGTTATTGACATCTTGAGCTCCTGTAGTCATTTGTTACAGCTGAGCCAATAGTGATACTTGATTCACAGATAAAGTTCCAATTATATTAGGGTTCACTCTTTGGATCATATAAAAATTCAGATTCAATGCTAGTGAAGTTGGAACCAACTCATAGCTCAGAAGCAACTCCAGCAAGTTTACGGAGACTGTAAATCACTTGGGAGAAGGTTGCCCATCTTTCTCCTATGGAGCAATAAAATAGATGGAGTTCAGTTGCCAGAGAGGTGCCACCATTGGGATAGCAGGGCAGCTTCCTAGGGATTATGCTGCTAGAACTCCCTTTGTGTCATATCATCCTGTAGTTTTTCACAAATGCGTATGATAGGGTGTCCACTATTACTGTATCATTCAGATAATTTTCATATTTGTTTTTTAATAAGTAATCTGAGTGCATTTAAATGGTTTATAAATCTAAAAGGTACAAAAGGAGATATAAGTAGCCAAAAAGTGGAAGCCATCCAAACAGCCATTAGTTGGTGACTGGTTAAATAAAATGGTGGTATACATACATCAAAGATTGTATGAAACACAAGGTGAATAAAGAGTAGTGTTAACATAATGTATATAAATTTTGAAAGCAAACCAATACAAAACTTTTAAAAGGTCTTTTTTTCTGGTTTTGGTTTTTGTTTTGTTTTTAAATTACAAGCTAAAAAAACATGTATGAGGATCCAGCATGGAGAGGGTGGGGGCAGAAGGGTGAAGATGGGCATGGGTAGGGGAGGGGGGATTTGCATAATTTTGTGGGTGGAGGGAGGAGGTAAAAGAAATGGGAACGATCCAGTGGGGATCTGGAAAGACAGGGTAATTGTGGGCATAGTTCAATGGTGATTAATGTTATAGAATACAATGATTGAGAATAATGGTGATTATATGATATACATCATGAAAGAATGATATAATGAAACACAATGTATACAAACTTTGTAAGCAAACCAATATTAAATAAATATTTTTTAAAAATTACTCCATGATGGGAAGAAACAAAATGGTAGTTAATATCTACTAAAATATGAAGGAACTTGAAAATGTTAAGCTAGGTGAAAGAAGCCAGCCACAAAAGACCAGAAGATTGTATGATCACACATTTCTGAAATATCCAGGACAGGGAAACCCATTGAGAAAGAAAACAGATTCATGTTTGCTGGGGGCCAGGTTGTGTTAGGAACTGACCCATAGCTGACTCTCCCATGGTTTTTCAGGTAACCCATCTTTCTCCTGTGGAGCAGCTGGCGGATTTGAACTGTGTGCCTTTGGTTTGGCAGCATAGCTCCTGACCACTCAGCTACCAGAGCTACCAGAGCTCCCTACTGGGGACTGGGAGAAAGAAGAAATGGGCAGTGACTTCTTAATAGGTCCAGGGCCCCCTTTTGGAATGAGAAAAATGTTTTGGAGCTGGAGAGAGATGGTAGTCACACATGGTTGTGTGTTTAGAATCACTGCCATCAGTTTCAGCACTTTGGTCTTTCTCTTAGAAAGACTAGAAGCTCTGGTGGTCTAGTGGATAAAGGAGGTGTACTGCCAACCCAAAGGCAGGTGGATCAAATTCACCAGCTGCTTGGAGGAAGAAAGATGAGCAGTCTCCTCCCCTGTGATTTATAGCTTCTGAAAACCCACTGCAGGGTCACCTTTCAGATTTAACAGCAGCAAGTTGTGGTTATAAAGACTATTCTTAAAAAAAAAAAAATTTAAGGGAGCTCTGGTGGCCTAGTGGCAAGAAGCTGCACTTTAATTCCAGAGGTACACTGTTGAAAGGGAGGGCCAATCTCTTCCTATACCAGTCAGATCCAATTTGATGGTACACACAAAAAAAATAATTCAAAAAAAGAAAAAATATTTTAAAAAGGCTATTTTTAATATAAAACTGAATATGCAAAAAAATGAGCTTTTTACAAAATTACTAAAGATTTGTAATTTTACAAAATTACTAAAATAACATTAGGATATAACAAGTGATGTCTTCCATACACCACAGAATGAGTATTTTATTGAAAAATTGGATCTGTGGAATAGAACTTCAAATTCCTTAATAATAAACCCAGACTTACTGGACCAGGTGAGACTGGTAGATACTCGTCCTGAGATACTATCATCCTTGAACAGAAACTAGCTCCTGAGGTCACCTTTTAGCTAAATAACTTTGGCTCACAAAATAAAGAACATCATCTTTGTGTACTATCCTTCTTTTTAAATTCACCATGTGAAACCAAACAGCAACTAATTTAAAACAAAGATGAGAAGGAAAAAAGAAAAAGACCAACCAAAGATGACAGTATAAAGGAAGCAGGGGAACTAGTAGAAGCCGAATCACCAGAAGAGAGTATTATTCCCATATTATAAAGAGCATAGCCATTCATGGAACAAGTTGTGTAGAAATTATTGAATGGCAACCTTCTGCTGTGTAAACTTTCACCAAAAGCACAGTAATATATTTTAAAAAAAAATTATTTAAAAGAACTATGAGATATCATCTCATCCTAGTAAGAACAGCAAAATTTAACAGAGCAGTAAACAACAAATGCTAGCTAGGTTGTGGAGAAACTGGAACCCTTATTCACTGTTGGTAAGAGTGTAAAATGGTGCAACAACTATGGAAGGCAGTATGGCGCTTTCTCAAAAAGTTGCAAATAGAAATACCATTTGACCCAGCAATTCTAGTACTGGGAATATACCTTAAAGAAACCAGAACTGCCTCCCATGCAGATATATGCACACCCATTGTTATTACTGCTTTGTTCACAATAGCAAAGAATTGGAAACAACCCAAGTGCCCATCAACAAATGAATGGATAGAGAAGCTGTGGTATATTCACACAATGGAATATTATGCAGCACTGAAAAACAAAGAACTCATGTAATATTATACAAAATGGGTGACCCTGAAGGACATTATGCTGAGTGAAATATCTCAGTCACAAAAAGACAAATACTGCATAATGCCACTGTTATAAAACAGGATTGACAAGGGGGCTGGGGGGAGATTAAGAAAAGGGGATAAATAATGTACAAGGCATTGAAACAGAGGAGGCAGAGAACTATATAAAAGGAACATATGATTAGGTATTACTGGCATGACAGGAGTTCAGAATAAGAGCTGCATAGTAAAGTGGTCTGGGGCGGGGAGCTACTGTATAACTATGAAAGAACTTTTTTTCCAAAGAAAAAAGCAAACTGAGGGGGAGGGGGATAGGGAGGAAAATGTGCAACAATGAATGGAAATCTAAGTTCTTTATAAACTTTTATTAAAATTGCAATAAAAATTATTTTAAAATTTTCACTTTTGAAAATGAGAACTTTCAAAATGCTTTCAGGTGTGATTTTTCTATTTGTACATGTATAATTAAAAGTGTTTAAGATTATGAGAACTTTTGCTTAAAACCACCTATTGGTTCATTGTATCATATACCTTCTCCTCCTTTATATTCTGTAGGATTGAATTTATAAAATATCAAAGTTGGAGCTTTTTTCCCTTTTAGTTTTCACTAAGGCATCACCAGAGGGCGAGGAGAAAGCACATGCCTCTCTCTGGACTCTCAGCCTGTCATAGCTCTCAAAGCTAACTTTGGGGAAATAGATGAAATGAGCCTCTGAAATAGATGTACTTGATTGAGCTCCACGTGTAGGAAGTACTTTTAGCTTTCTAAGAGTTTGTGTTTCTTTGTTAGGTGCTGATTGATGTCCCCTGTTCAGACCTGGCTCAGGAACTCGGCCAAAGCTGTGCCACGGTCCAGGGGCTCCAGAACACTCTCCAGCAGGTGCTTGACCAGAGGGAGGAAGCCCGCCAGTCCAAGCAACTCCTGGAGCTTTATCTGCGAGCCCTGGAGAAGGAGGGCAGCATCCTGTCAAAGCACGAAGGTAGGGCTTTTTGATGGGGTGGACATTACAGTGAAAACGTTTATAGCGTGTATCCTTGAAAAAAGAACAGAATGTTTACAATGCAATTGAAAACCCCAAAGACCCACAGCAGGCAGGATCTTGAAATGGCATGTTTATCCCTTCCTGATTGATTACTCTGGATGGTTCTTTGTGTACCTGACTGATTATACTGTGTGCTAATCTTGACCTTACGTCTGCTTTTCAGAGACCAGAGCCGGGTTTGTTGCAGAGATGGATACAGTCGACATGGGCATTAGCAGAGAAACAGTCTCTGGAATTGCACTCACAAGCCAGATCCTTTCAGCACTGAAAGAGAAGCCTGCTCCAGAACTGAGCTTATCGAGTCAGGATTTGGAGGTGGGCGAGAATGAGGGACACTGAGCTGCAGAGATGGCTGTCTCTCAGATGTGCAATTATAGTGCAGAGGCTGGTAGGGATTATTTTTCCACCTCTCACATCCTGTTCTTGGCTGCTAACTTTGCCAAAAGTATATACAAACATCTCAGTTAACCTCAGTCCAAATAGCTTTTTCTAGCGGTGCTCTTCCTCAGACCATCAAGCGTTGTCCTCTGCTCTGGTATCAGTGATGACTGAACCTGACAGGCAGGCATAGCTGGACTCAGGCTCCCATTCTGTCAGTGGTTCAAGATGATCCATAGGAAATACTGGGGCACGTAAAGTCACTCCTTTGGGGGTCATCTTGTGCTTGCTGAGACCAGGGTAACGGGAAACCTGATAAAGGGAACCCATTATAGTGGATGTTATTCCTTATTCTTTGTTCTCTTCTCTGTCCCTCAGTACTCTCCTGTTGTCAGTGAACAGGAAGGAAATGTACTTGAGCTTGGTTAAATTTCCTGTAGGTTGAAAACTTCAGAATTGCTCTGAAGGTTTTTGTTGGGTTTTGGCTTCGCCTTGAGGACCCTTTCCTGTTAGTGTTTCATTGTAAAAAAAAGGCACATGACAGTTTCATAGGAAGCAAACTTGGTAGTGGCCTTTTAGCTTAGACATAACATAATTCCATTGCTAAATCCTATTCTCCCGAGGAAGTAGAGCAGCAGATGGGGATAGCGAAGGAGTGGTTACCAATGATTGCTGTTCTTGCTGCAGTTGGTTACCAAGGAAGACCCCAAAGCCTTGGCTGTTGCTTTGAACTGGGACATAGAGAAAACTGGAACTGTTCAACGGGCCTGTGAGCAGGAGCTCAGCCTGCGCCTGCAGCAGATCCAGAGCTTGCACGCTCTCAGGAGTGTTTCAGCAAGGAAGACCTCACTGCCTGGACAGCCGCAGAACCCTAAACGAGCCAAGCGAGAGCCCACCTAGCTGCAGCTGGAAGTGTTATCAGTAAATACCTGCAGCCTGCTTCTTGACTGCTTACACAGGACTCTGCACCCTGCCTTAGGACATGCTCTCCTGGAACAGACTTGAAGGCCGGCATTGTGCTCCTCCAGAAAAGCCATTATGTCTCTTGACATATGTCCTCCCACCTATTTTGAACGATACACCATAGGTACACCTGGCATATCCCATCTTCTCTGATTACATGTTCTCATGCCTGTTTATGGACCCAGCACGCTTCCACTGCACAACTCTGCTACCTGCTTCATGCCTGTTTAAAAGTGACTGTAAAGGCCGTAAAAAGGAATCATCATTCTTTATTGAATTAATGTGTTTGTCTGCTAACCAAAGGGTGGATGTTCAAGTCCACCAAGAGGCACCTCAGAAGAAAGGCCTGGCCTTCTACTTCTGAAAAACCAGCATTGAAAGCCTCAGAGATTGGAATTTTACTGATACACATGGGGTCATCACAAGTTAAAATCCACCCAACAGCAGCTCATGACTTTTTGTCCTCATTCTGATAATAAAACTTTAACATTTTAAACATGAATAACAGCAGAGATGATGATATAATAGTGTTGATTATGGCTGAAAATGTGTTTCTCAAGTTAATGAATTTTTTTGTTTGTTTGTTTAAAGCTGCATATTAAGTTTTCAGACCATAGGGACATACATAGGGCATAACTCACCATTTCTAATATCAAACTCAGTATTGTGAAATTATATCCATTACCACTGTGAAATGCTTTTCAGTTTTCTAATATGTTTATCAGCAGGGGGTATAAAGGTCATTAAGTCCCATTTCCATGTGATGTGACTTCAAGTCTCTCTGGGTAGAATGCAGAGCACTTCTGGCTCACATACCTCCTGTTTCTGTACAGACTTGTTCTTCAGGTCTGTAATCCACAGTCTCCTTATATGGGAAAGGTGGTGATTTATCATTAACACCTTTGACTTTTGTGCTGGCTTTGAAAAAAATAGAATCCTATTCAGAGATACACTGATTGGCTATTAAATAAAGAAATGTAACAGTAAGGCCTTGGACTGGGAGGGCGGATACAGAAGCAAGCAGAACAGAAAGACTGTTTTCTTCTCTACAGTTGTCAAAGAAGCAGCCTTACTAATGTTTCACAACATTGGTTCTTACCCATTAGACTCAATATTTCCTGTTTTAGTATTTTGTAATTTCTTTTTAAGTTTTTTTGTTGTGATTTGGGTAATGTTTACAGAGCAAATTGGTTTTCAGTGCAGTGCACATGTATTTTGATTTGTGCCCCACAATGTAACAGCATTTCCCCACTTCCTCCTTGTGTTTGCTGTTTCCATTTGTTCTTCTTTCCTCTCCCTTCCTTCCTTTGAAGCTTTATCTTTGTGTAAATTCCACATTTTGATCTTGTATAGTTGGGAGTTCTGTGGAGTGCATGCTATACTGGTGGTGTTCACCTTAAGAGCCTGGTATGTTTGGTGAAAATTGAGCCTGGAGGGTATAATTCCTTCTTAATTATCCTTAAATGATCCATTATGTGGATCTCCGTGTGCCACTGTCTGCGCACAGAGAACAGCTACACTAAAAGACCCAGTGAAGTGGTCAGGTGCTTGTGGCTGATTGTGACTCTGACAGGTGCAGATTAGCGTGACTGTACAAGGATTGAGAACTCAACTACCACAAGTAACACTACCCATATCAATAAGATTTTTTCAATATGCTAAAGTTCTGGACAAAGAATACCATATCTTCTTTTCGTTTATAAATGGCTGCACTCCTAGAAAATCAAGAGTATGTGAAACTGCAAAAAGTGCCAGCAAGCACTTGAAAAGATGCTCAGTCACTAGAGAAATGCAGTCAGTACCACAGTGAGATACCACATCACCTGCACTAAGATGGCTTTAATTTTAAAAAAATAGGAAACCATCAAAGTTGAATTGGCAAGTGGTGTGATAGATCTGTTCATAACAACAACAGCTTAAAAATCAAAGAAGTCAATGATAACATAGACTGCTTATGTACAGCCAGACATCTGGCTTCTTGGTTTGGAGATTTGGAGTCACAGTTTCATGGAACATCTTAGTTAATTGACCTAACTTGTTTAGTGCTTCTGTTCTACCTCTTGGTTGATTGTATGGTGTCTAGGGTCTTAAATGCTTGTGAGCAGCCATTCAAAGCAGGACATCTGGTTTCTATTCATCTGGAGTAAGGGGAGTCAGGAAGAGGAGGAGAATATAGAATGTGTGGTCTCTAAACAACGGCCCATTTTGCCATGAGAACAGAACAACTGGATGGTGCCTCACTGCCATTCCCGACCATTTTGATGGAAGATTTTAGAGGAATTTTGACCAAAAGGGGGGAAATGTAGAATTTCAGATTCTTGTGGGTTCTAGACTTTCCAGAGCTAGGGAAGGTGGATGACTATAAGAAACTATTGCCCTCAGATAATCTTATATGATATGATATGATATGTCTTATGTGACAGCGTACCTGCATATATACACATATATGTATGTATACTTTCAAAAGTATTGATATGAGACTCCAGATGTAATATTATAGAACAAACAAAAATAACAGCTAATAAAATCATGTAGATCTCAGTATGTCACTATTAATATTCCCTGAAATCATCTTAAAACTGAACCATTTAGCTTAACTGGTAAAAATGATCAGCTTTAAACATTATACCATTTTAAGGACTATGTAGGATCAAGCTTACAGCTGCAACTACTCAAAGAATTAGATGAGAACCTTAAGGGGTGATCATTGGGGAGTAGCAGCTCAGAAAAGGAATGTCAAAATTTTTGTACAATTTAAAGAGAATGTCATCAATATCACTGACTTGTATGTGTAGTAACTGTTGAATTGGTATATGTTTACCATCCATATTGTCAATAAAATTGAAAAATTAGAAACAAATGTTGGTGAGACTGGAAAAACTAAAACTAATCCATTGCTAGTGGGAGTATAAAATTACTTGTTTTGGGTTGGGATTTGGGGGTTTTTTTCCCTTTGCAAGGCAAATTTTACTTCTGCAGAAAAGGTGCACAACACTACAAAGTCTGGCTGGTAAAATATCCATCATATGGTTTTGTCTTGTGTACTATAGTGAAACTATCATCCCAGTCCCCACCTACTCACTTAGCAGTGCCCTGTAGTCTCTTCTCCCTGCCCGCCCCACCCCCAGTCTTTGAGACAACTAAAATCATCCTTACATACTTTCAAAATTCCTCACTAAGGATTACAGCATTTTGTAGTCGGTACTACAGACTACAAAAGATGGCTGTACCACTTACTGCAAACTGACAAGTGCTGTACTACGTGGAACATTGTTCTCCCCAAACACAATTAACAAGAGGCTTCTAGCCCACAGTTGATTGTTAATGAAATAAAAAAACGACCAAACAGTTTACACCTGACTCAATTAAAACAACCTACCCTCCAGAATCCAACTCCAAACTGGAGACTCTTAGGTAGGACCCCATCAACTTCTAAATACAAAAGTCTGCCCACCAGATCCTGATTGCTTAAGCAAGAGGCTTCCAGCCCACAGCTGATTGTTAATCAAAATAGCCAGTCAGCTTACTCTGAACAAACAGATATGTCTTGGAGAGAGTGCAGCCAGAATGTTCTTTGGAGGCAAGAATGATGAAGCTTCACCTCACATACTTTGGGCATGTTGCTAGGAGGGGCTACTCCTTGGAGAAGGACATGATGCTGGGAAGAGTGGAGGGTCGGCAAAGTAGAGGAAGATCCTCAAATCCTCAACCAGGTGAATTGACATGGTGATTGCTGCAGTGGGCTCTTGTGTGTCAGGAAGTGTATCAATGGCACAAGATAGAATAAGGTTCAGATCTTTTGTTCATAGAGTCACTATGAGTCATACTCAACTCAGTGGTACCTAACAACAACTATGCTTACCATGTTCGTGCTTTATACAATACTGAGTGAGCTTGGCAAAGTATGGCTCATGTCTCTCATTTTAGTCATCAAGGGAGTTGTCTCGTGTCTCAGGTCTACCAAAGGCTCCACAGGCGGTTCTTTCCGTTCTAATTCCAGTGCTTTTCACTGCTGTGTAAGGAGCCTCGATTGGTTTAGTGCACCATGTATTGGGCTACTTATGAAAAACTGGTGATTGGAATCCACCAGCCTCTCTGCAAAGAAAGATGGGCAGTCTCCTCCCAGAAAGATATACAGCCTTAAGACAGGTCAGCCTGGGTTGCAATTTATTTGTTGGCTATAAGCCACCACTTCATGTTTTCTCTTACTTACCTAAACTTGCTCTATTCCACAACCAGGCTACTGTTTGTATCTGTGTGTTTTAAGTAACAGGTTTAATTGCACAGTTACCCTAAAGTGGTATGACAGTTCTGACCATCACAATTTGGTAAAACACTATTAAGACAGGCTGTGGGAATGGGAAGAGAACCAATGGCGGCACCTTCCAATCCTAGTTGCTCTTCAGAGGGAGTGGGCTGGGTTTGGGGTTTTGTTGTTGTTGTTTGTTTTTGAGCCTCATTTTAATATACCAAGGAATTATTCTGATTAATATTGAATCAAAACAAAAGGGACTAAAAAGCAAATAGTACTCTCAGTTGGGGTTCAGTGGGAAGAAAGCATGACTCCTCACAGCAGGAAGGGAGACATTAGAGGAATGAGGCATCTTGTAGCTGTGACCAAGGTAATCGCTCACCTACTTTGTACTTTCAGTGATCTCTGAAAGGTACAGTATTTCTTCCTCTTCTCCTGTGATGGCTTAAAAATGTTCCTAGGTATATGTGCACAACCACCTCAGCTGTCCTCAAAGTTGATCTGCTGCTACTTCATTTCTTCATTGGCTTGTTTTTATGCTTCATTGTAGTCAAGTTGGCATCAACTCCAACTGGAAAACATCCAGTATGCTTACGGTGTAATTGTCAAAGGATTCCTAACCACAGTTGGACCATAAGAACAACAAATAAGCCTCAATGAAAACTGTACCATTTACCATAGTAAA